AGGACATCCCCAGCCCTTGCCCACCACAGCAGCTTGGGGCCAGGTAAGAAGCGTCTGTCCCTGAATACAGCAGCTCCAATGGGCACAGATGGGGGAGGGGCACATGTCCCCCAGATGGGGCAGGTCCAGGTTCATCTGCCCCCTACACTCCCCAGCCAGAGTGAGGAATGCAGCAAACTGGGCACTTTCCTCTTGCTCCCTGATGAAAGGGAACAGCCAGCAATGTTCCCGCATGAATCAGCAGGGAGAGCTTCAGTCCCCCTGCCCTTGCTAAAGGGCACGCAGCCCCCCCATGCCCTCCTGAAAGGGCATTTGGGGAGAGGGGGTGGGAGGCTCAGAGCTGGGGAAATCCTGAATCAGGGGGTGGTGCACTCCCAGCCAAACCCTTTCACCTTCCTATTTTGTGTGTCCTCATACAAATCGGGGAGTTGAGGGAGCTTCAGCCCTTCCTCCTCTCCCCCTCACCCCCCATAATAAAACTCTGACCTTGTTTTAAGTTATGATAAGAGGAAACTGCATATCAAATTTGGTATTCCTATCTCTTATAGTTTAGGAGTTCTTGAACAAACAGATGGATGGACGGACGGACAGACAAGCTCTCTCCTAGACAGACAAACTCTCTCAAATCTGTAGGGGTATGTCTACACTACCACCCTAGTTCGAACTAGGGTGGTTAATGTAGTCAATCGAAGTTGCAAATTAAACCCGGGATTTAAATATCCTGGGCTTCATTTGCATCTTGCTGGGCGCCGCCATTTTTAAATCCCCACTAGTATGGACTCCATGCCCGCGGCTACACATGGCCTGGAGTAGGTAGTTCGAATTAGAACAAGGTGGAACGAGGTGGAACGGTAGTTCGAATTAGAAACCCTAACTCGAACTACCTACTCTGTGCTGCGTGTAGCCGTGGGCACGGAGTCCGAACTACCGGGGATTTAAAAATGGCGGCGCCCGGCAAGATGCAAATGAAGCCAGGGATATTTAAATCCCGGGCTTCATTTGCAACTTCGATTGACTGCATTAACCACCCTAGTTCGAACTACGGTGGTAGTGTAGACATACCCTAGTAGATTATAATCATGATTGTTATTGTGGTGTGAAAAAATGTTTCTCTGGAGTCTGGATGTTGAGTGTACTTTGACCAAGACATTTGGACCTTGAAAAAAAAATTGACTGTTTTGAGCTAAGCCATATTAAATGTGTCCACATGGGGAGTTAGTGTGGAGTAGCTAGCTCACTTTCAATTCACCTTACAGCACTCTAACTTCCACATGTAGACAAATCCCTCAATCTTCACATTAAATATAATTCACTTAGTAAGTGAATATTAATCATTTTGCAAGAGTGGGAAGACAAATCTGCCAGGGTAAATCCTGTTGGGAATGTTGTTAGCTTGTGCTGTTATATCATCACCAGATAAAGTTAATCACAACATAGGGGGGCTATGCAGAGTACATTTTCCTCAAAGTAGTCACAACAGCGTGGGAGGGTTCAGAGTAACGATGTGCTGTGTGGAGCGCTTTCATGCAGAACTGTGCATGATGGGAGAGGATCAGCTGCAAAATTCAGATCTTGATCCAGGTTTCCAAACTGACTCTAGGATCTATGGGGCTGTCTGCATTACTATTAAACTGGTGTCTGTATGCCCGACAGCAGTCGAGAGGGGGCGGGGTGTGATGATGTTTGAGATCTGGGATTTTATAATCTTCAGCCACACACTCATGAAATAGTTTTAAAGCAAATTTTAAACTATGGTCCTGTCTACTAATGCAGCACATTCAGAAATTGACCCTACATACCTGGGGTTGTCACACACCTGTTCAATGGCTTCATTAGCATTTGAATGGCTCTTTCACAGGTTCAATGAGCTGCTAATCGCTCTGGCAGCTTTTAACTAGATCCTCTCTGAAACAAGAGGAGCCACGGAACAGGGATAGGAAGAGGCAGGTAGGTGGGATTAATTTGGTGCCCCAGATTTTCAGGTGCCCTACACAACTGCATATTCTGCATTGGGAAAGGACAGTTCTGCCCCTGTGTGTTTGGGAGTTTGCTTTGGGTTTTATCTTTGGAAATAACATTGTTTTGTGGTTATGATTAAGTGACTCACTGTGTGGCTCACAAATAATTTACCGTTTGTTTAGCAGATGACAATGAGTAACAACAATATACTGCATAAAAAAGAACGACGGGGAAAATGTACCTTTATGTTCGTAAAAACAACTGGAGTACCGAAGGCTATGTCTACACTTGCACCCTCTTTCGAGAGAGGGATGCAAATGAAGACATTTGAAATTGCACATGAAGCTGGGATTCAAATATCCCGTACTTCATTTGCATATTTGTGTTATGGCGCTATTTTGAAATAACAGACGCTGTTAAGACGCAGTTATTTCGAGAGAAAACCCTTCTCTCAAAATAACTGGTAAACCTCATTGTATGAGGAATAAGGGTTATTTCGAAAGAAGGATTTTCTCTCGAAATAACCGTATCTTAACAGCATCTGTTATTTCGAAATAGCACCATAACATGAATATGCAAATGAAGCGTGGAATATTTCAATCCTGGCTTCATTTGCAATTTCGAACGTCTTCATTTGCATCCCTCTCTCGCAAGGGGTGCAAGTGCAGACAGACCCTTAGAGACTAACAAAAAATGTACATGGTATCATGAGCTTTTGTGGGCACGATCCCCTTCTAAAATGTCATACGACAACAAACTCTCCACACTGAGTCAACAGTGCGCCTTTGTAGCCAAGAAGGTGAATGGAATATTAGGTTGCATTGAGAGGATCATTGTCAGCAGATCTAGAGAAGTGATTATTCCCCTTTATTCGGCACTAGTGAGGCCACATCTGGAGTATTGCGTCCAGTTCTGGGCCCCCCACTACAGAAAGGATGTGGACACATTGGAGAGGGTCCAGCAGAGGGCAACAAAAATAATTACAGGTCAGGAGCATATGACCTATGAGGAGAGGCTGAGAGGTTTGTGCTTGTTTAATCTGCAGAAGAGAAGAGTGAGGGGGGATTTGATAGCAGCCTTCAACTTCCTGAAGGCAGGTTCCAAAGAGGATGGAGAGAGGCTGTTCTCAGTAGTGATAGATGGCAGAACAAGGAGAATGGTCTCAAGTTACAATGGGGGAGGTCTAGGTTGGATATTAGTTAAGCATTGGAATGGGTTCCCTAGGGAGGGGGTGGATTCTCCATCCCTAGAGGTTTTTAAGTCCCATCTTGACAAAGCCCTGGCTGGGATGATTTAGTTGGGATTGGTCCTGCTTTGGGCAGGGGTCTGGACTCCATGACTCCCGAGGCCTCTTCCAGCCCTATGATTCTGTTATTCTAAAATAACTCATTATTCAGTGTGTTGAACTCATGTGAGTGCTGTCAAGTTCATAGAGGATTTATTCTCTGCTGGGGACTGGTAAAATAAATGGTATAGGTTGCATCTCCCTAAACGGAGACTCTGGTCTGGCAATATCTGTGGTCTGGCAGGACCGTGGATGTTCCTGGACCAGAGAATCCTGGTGGCCAGGAGTCAGGCAGCAGGAGGGCTGATACCTGGGATCCCTGCTGGGCTGGGAGCCAGGTAGAGCTAGTAGCAGCCTGGCAGAGAGGCCAAGGATGGGGCCAGCAGCAGGCACCCTGGCGGAGGCGGCAGGGGAGGAGCGAGGCCAGGCTGCCCAGCTGGTGCCATTGGAACAGTGATGGTGAAGCTGGCTGGGGAGCTGGTGGCAGGGAACCTCCCCTCGTCCAGCAAATTTCCTCATTCAGGACCAGTCAGGTCCCAAGGGTGCTGGACCGGGATCTGGGAGGTCCAACCTGTAATAAGATGAACCCTGCAACTCCCCTCCAGAAATGAGCACTGCAGTCTGTTTTCTTGGTCTCCCAGCTGTGGTTGTGATGGTTTCTTTGGAAATTCTTTCAGCCAGTACCAGATCTGTGAAGTGCTTAAGTCCTTCCTAAGCCTCTGTACAGAGGCAAACTTCACCTTTTAAGCCTGTGGATGGGAGTAAAATAGCTGTTAATATTCAGAGCCAACTACCGAAAGCTCCTTAGCGTATACTGATCATATTCGGCAGTCTGCTGGCTCAGCGATACCAGGGATGGAAAATCCCATTTAATCAGTTAACTGTGATCCCGCTGGTTGGCGGGGGCGGGGCTGCAGTGGTCCCCTCCCCCTCGCCGGCACCAGCACGGGACAGCTTCAGCCCAGTGGGGCTACTGGTTAACTAGTTAACTAATTAACCAATTGCATCCCTAAGTGATACTCATTTCAAAGTAGGGATGTGAAAGGTTAATTATTAACCGGTTAACCTAAGAGGCTGGAGCAGCTCCCTGCCTGCTGCGGGCAGGGGACTGCTCCCCAACTCTGCGGGCCTGCCACAGACAGGAGCTGCTTCAGTGTTTGGTGCCCCACAAGGTAGGGGCTGCTCCAGCTCAGCCAGAGCAGCCTCCCGCCCATGCCCCCTTTAATCAGTTAACCTGTTAAACATAATGTTTAACCAGTTAAACACGATTTTGCATCTCTGTTTCAAAGATGCTGAAAACTATCGATCTGATTCTAATCTCACTTAAATCTTGTTACGCCGGTGTCAGTCCATGGATTGTGGTGTCACTTCTCCTGGCTTTCACGGAGAGAAGAATCAGGTGCTCCTAAAGCCAGGGTTATCAGCGGTGATGGAGAGGCGCATGTGGTATTAAATAATAAACATCTTTATCTTAGTCCTGTGGAGATACAATCCAATTGGGACCACGACTCTGCAAGTGGATCCGTAAAGGCAGATATTTGATCCTATAAAGAGCATGTTATAAGACTGGGAGTTTGGGGAGAGGATTTCCATGCTCTTTGTTTGTGTGTATGCTGAGAGTGAAGCACAGATTGGATAGAGTTGCTTAGTATTTGCTATTTAGGCCTGATGTATATAGATAGTTCAACTCTCTCTGTAATATTTATTAAGAGGAGCAGGGAGTCTAACAAGGGGATATATTTTTTTTTCCATGCAGAGTCCTCACTGGATATTCTCCAACATGTGAATGAGGATACGGATAAGCTTGAATGTAAAATTAGCAGATACTTTACTGATAACACCCAGATCCTCTGGCCTGGGATACAAACTCAAGGTGATAAACTGGATTCATGGTTCACTGGCACCATAAAGCACGTGGCTGACAAATTCACCGTTACTGTCTTTTTGGTGCAATCGAGTGCCAGCAGAGAGGCAGAGAATCGAATCCCTGAAGAAGTTTCTCAAGGCAATGAAGAGAGATTTTATCTTTCAGGTAACAATAAAACTGTTCAAGAAACATGGAATAATAGTGAGGTGATTCCTAGCTTGCATTTCTACCTCACTCTCTAATGGAGGATTTTACATTTTACAGTATCAGTGTGGCATTGTATTGACAATGTGAATTAGCTGAAATAACTAGCAATGTGATATTTTTAAACTAGCGTGTTGGTGGGTTTAAAATATAAAGAGGCAGCTTTGCTAGCATTGTGTATAATCGAAAATAACAGGCCTCATTTATACACTATAGCAGTATTACTGATTCCAGCGATGTGGGGGTCTCCTGATATTTGGTGTTTTCCTTAAAGACCCAGTTCCTGGTATCTTCTGAAGCAGAGATAATCTCAACAGTCCTTTTGAAAATAAAGGAGTCATTTTTTTAAAGTAACTTTCTAGTCTTCGTTGTTATTGAGACAATATAGAAAATTTGACTCTGGTACTTCCTTAAAGGCTCAAACCTCAGAAGATTTTAAAAAAAAACCCTTAGGCTATGTCTAGACTGGCATGATTTTCCGCAAATGCTTTTAATGGAAAAGTTTTTTCGTTAAAAGCATTTGCAGAAAAGAGCGTCTAGATTGGCATGGATGCTTTTGGCAAAAGCACTTTTTGTGGAAAAGCATCCGTGCCAATCTAGACACGATTTTGCGCAAGAAAGCCCCGATCGCCATTTTCGCCATCGGGGCTTTTTTGCGCAAAACAGTCCTGAGCTGTCTACACTGGCCCTCTTGCGCAAAAGCATTTGTTAGGCAAGTGTTATTGTTCCTTTTCAGATGGGAGATTGAGGCAGGGAGGTGAATTGGCTGAGCGGCAGACCAGAAAATAGAATTCAGACTCTGGATATGTCTATGGAACAGAGTTTTGTCGGGAAATGGCCATTTTTACAACAAAACCTGAGTAATGTCCACACTGCAATCACATTCTTTCAAAAGTAAATTGAAAGAACTGAGAGGGTTTTCCAGCGTTGGTAAACCTCTTTCTACAAGGAAGAAGACTTTTTCCAAAAAAGGCATGCGTGTTCAGGAAAGGTTCTTTTGCAAGAAGAGGAAAAAACACAGGTGCCCTGGTGGCCATTCTGCCAACAGTAATCACATCTTACATGCAAAATAGCATTAATTTGCTTTTTCGATGCGCTTTTGCTGTGTGGCGCTCTTTTTCGGAAGAAGTTTTTTCGGCAGATCTCTTCTGGAAACGCTTCTTCCGAAAGAAGCCTGCGGTCTAGACATAGCCTCTGTGTCCACCCCTCTCTACTGTGTTGTGTCTACATCATTACAAAACAAACACGCAGACGACATCTTTTATAATAGCAGAAATGGGATTCTGATAGTCCAGCCCTCTTTACTGGAGCCTGTTTGTTTTGTTGACTGGCCCATCCAGATTCCCAGTGTAAACTGGGAGTAACTCTGCTGAAGTGATATCCGGATAGTCTTTCACCTGAGGATTTTGAAGAACATTATGCATGTTTCCCAGTTACTTAGGCTACGTCTACACTGGCCCCATAAAATGGAATAGTCATGCAAAGCAGGTAAGTCAGAATAGGGAAATCCGTGGGGGATTTAAATATCCCCCGCGGATTTAAATAAACATGTCCGCCGCTTTTTTTCCAGCTTGGGGAAAAGCCGGAAAAAAGCGTCTAGACTGGCGATCCCCCACGGATTTCCCTATTCTGACTTACCTGCTTTGCATGACTATTCCATTTTATGGGGCCAGTGTAGACGTAGCCTTACTGTCTAGATTGTTTTTCACAGTGTTGGCTAACTAAGATTGTAGTGAGACAAGGTGGGTGAGGTAATATCTTTTATTGGGAGACCGTCGGTTGGTATGAAAGAGAAAAGCTTTTGAGCTTACACTGAGCTCTTCTTCAGGTCTTGGAAGCGAACTGAGAAGTGTCCCTGCTACGTACAAGTTTGAAATTTCTAGTTCTCTAATATCCTGGGGCTGACACTGCGTCAGACTTGTAGCACAGTTATGAATTACTGAAGGATACTTGTGCCCGTTTTTCAAGTGGCAAAATGGGGGCACAAAGATAAGTTCAATGACTCGCCTAAGGGCACAAACAAAATCAGTGGCAGAATGGGGAATTGTGCGCATTTCCTGCGCTGACTGCATATCAACTTTATTCTGCAGCATGGCTTTGCGTCTCTAGATGGCAACTTTACTCTGACTGTTTTGCACCATTGATCCAAAACTGAGTTGCTCTGATGATGTTTTATTACGTGTGTTACAGGTGTATTCTTGGTCCGTACAGGACCCTCGCTAATCCAGTCTGGCTTAAAGAAAGATGTCCTTCTCAACTGTGCTTTCTCAGTTGATCACCACACAGATGTCACCATCCAATGGGTCTTGCAGCAGAAAGGGGGACAAAAGAAGCTGATAGTTGCCTATAGTGGATCTACTCGACAAGTGGACTACAAGGATAAACGGGCAGAGATGTTCCCAGCAGAGATCTTGAAGGGAAATGCTTCTCTTTTACTAAGAACAGTGGAAATAAGAGATGCAGGATCCTATGCCTGCTTAGTATCTGTGTCAGCACTTCTTGGGGCACAGAGTATCCAGCTGGAAATAGTAGGTAATTGATTGTTTGAATAAGTGCAGATGGAACCTCTCTAGTGTGGCATGCTCTGGTCCAGCAATTCCGTGGTACGGCATGATTTTAGTTAGCTGGATATCCACTTACTATGGGGGTGGCCAACTTTCCTGTGTTCCCATGAAGTTTGTTTACAGCCACCAGTCCTGGCTGTCCGTGCTCTCTGCTATTATGTAGTTCTAATTTATCCCAAATGTCTTCAAAGAGTTCAGGAAGCAGTAGAAGTGTTGGTAATACTGTTAGACAACACTGACCTCCTGTGGTTCGGCAAATTCTCTGGTTCATCATCAATCAGGTCCCGAGGGTGCAGGACTAGAGAGGTTCAACCTGTAGCTTGAGTGATGCCCAAAATTTGGTCGGAGAAGAATGAGTCATTTGACTGAATGGGTATGGGGTAGAAAATTGTGTGTGTCTTCATTTAGCAAGGTAAGAGTATACTTGGCTTAAAGGGCTTAAGAGTATACTTGGCTTAAAAGTTTTCCGTTAAAAGCATTTGTGGAAAAGCGCGTCTAGATTGGCAGGACGCTTTTCCGGAAAAGCATTTTTTCCGGAAAAGCATCCGTGGCCAATTTAGACGTGCTTTTCCGCAAAAAAGCCCCGATCGCCATTTTCATGATCAGGTCTTTTTGCGGAAAACAGTACTGTGCTGTCTACACTGACCCTTTTGCGCAAAAGTCTTTTGGAAAAAGACTTTTGCCCGAATGGGAGCAGCATAGTATTTCCAGAAAATCACTGACGTTCTTACATGAGATCGTCAGTGCTTTTCCGGAAATTCAAGTGGCCAGTGTAGACAGCTGGCAAGTTTTTCCGGAAAAAGTGGCCAGGGTAGACACAGCCTAAGGGTATGTCTAGACTACAACCCTCTGTCGCCAGAGGGATGTAAATTAGACATACCGAAATTGCTAATGAAGTGGGGATTTAAATATCCCACGCTTCATTAGAATAAAAATGGCCACCGCTTTTGCCGACGCGGCAGTTTGCTGGCAAAAAGCGGCAGTCTAGACGGGGATCGGTCGACAAGGAAAACCTTTTCTGACCAATCCTGTAAACCTCGTTGGATGAGGCATAAGGGATCGGTCGGAAAAGGCTTTCCTTGTCGACCGATCCCCGTCTAGACTGCTGCTTTTTGCCGGCAAATTGCTGCATCAGCAAAAAGCGTCAGCCATTTTTATTCTAATGAAGCGCGGGATATTTAAATCCCCGCTTCATTAGCAATTTCGGTATGTCTAATTTACATCCCCCTGGCGACAGAGGGACGTAGTCTAGACATACCCTAAGTCTCACTCCATCACAGAATAGAATAAGGGATCCAAGACCAGAGCAAAAGGCTAGGGCTGATCCAGCAACAAGGGCCTCTTCTCTCCCAAGGCTGTTTCCCTGACACAGATAGGTCAGCTACAGATAGGTTATTACACAAGTACTAAGCGTAGCTTTTAAAAAAGCTGCATAGGCCTGGCTCCATTGGCTAAAAAAGTCTTTCCTATGGGAAACTCAGCTCCGGTGGGAGTTACGTGTCCAAAGGTTTTTTTTTAATGGTTCTAGTCCATTCCTGCCAGCCAACCCACCCTTAAATGTGGGTCACAGTGAGTCACAGACCCCCCCAAATCAGGGGGATAGACAATTGTATTCATGTAGGAAGCGTTACCACGCCGTGGGATTTCTTAATTTAGTGGAGGGAACCTCTGTCTCATGAGTCTGCGTTTCTGGGGCAAATAGCTTACACCAAATTTGGGAAAGCAAATTGCGGCGGGGCAGTAATTTTGGGGGCTAGGATGCGTGATCACTTTTTTGCAATGAGGGATGTTAAATGATGCCATTTTAATAGCGGGGTCTGTTTTATTTTTAAAGGGGTGGGGATGCAGCCCTGTAATAACTTTTTTCATTCACCAGAAAAGCCCACCGTGACCCTCAACGCTGACGTCCTGTCTCTGGTGGAAGGAGACGAACACAAGCTCATCTGTGACGTTGGTCATTTTTACCCTCATGATGCAGAGGCCCAGTGGCTTCTGGAACCCCAAAAGCCGGGGATGCTTCCACATGTGGTGAATCATGTTCTCTCTAGCAGTCACAGACAAAACAGTGATGGGACTTACAGCTTCTCCACCTACTTCCTGCTTAAGGCCTCCCTCAGGGACAACGGGTGTAGGTACACCTGCCGGGTGGACCACCGAAGCCTGAAGCAGCCAATCAGGAAAAGTCTGACGGTGCAAGTAACAGGTACGGTGTTCATTGCTTTCTTGACTTCTTATCCGATGGCAGGACTTTTCTCCTGACGTTCCTGAGAGACAAATGGCTTTTTCAACTAATCACAAATTTTCACACGCAAAAAAATCAATTTTTGTCACAAAAAAAGACCTTTTTTCAATATAAAAGTGAAGAAAAATGCATTACAAACCTAATTTACAATCAACATTTTGGGGGGAGAGGGAATGGAAATCAGTGGTGACTGATTGATTTGTTAAAGGAAAACAGTGCGCCCAGTGCAGTAGAACTCCTTGGAACACAGACAGTTCCTACTGTAACAAGCTTACTGCATGCCGTGGGGAAAAGTAGAGACGGGAGGCACAAAATGGATGCCTGTATTGCCATGTTGTTTTGAACTCTTTTCCACTAGGCAACAGAGGGGTTCTCAGGGAGGGGTTTCAATTGACACACATGGGTGTAATATGACTTTGTCATTGTAAATCAAAGCTGTGTCCTCTTGGGAGGTATTGTAAAGGTTTATTCTTCCCTGCAAATTGTTCTTATAATTTTTTTTTAATTTATTTATGGACAGAGTCTACCTCAGCAACTTGGCTCCTTGTCCTCCTATTTCTCCTTCTTCTCGCTGGGTGTCTTGTTGTGACATTGTATTATCTTCATCAAGGTAAAAAAAAAAGTGCGAAAAACCAGACTTGGGGGCAGAAAGGAATTTGCTGGCGAGTGCATTATTTAGTTGTATGACTGTAGTGGTTCGGAGCCCCCTGTTCTAAGCATTGGAGCACGAGAGTCTCTCCCCCCGAAGAGCTTACAGCCTAAATATAAGACAAGAGGCAATGAATGGACAGGCAGACAGACAAAGGGGAGGAAGTACAACGAGGCAGTAGTTGTCAGCATGACAGGCAGTGGCCGCAACACACCAGCAGCCTGTTGAAATACAGGGGAGAGCCCCTACTGGTGTAAATCGGCACAGCTCTATGGAGATCAGGGGAGACTCTTAAGCCCTGACTGAGTTGTCTGGTTACGGCTGTGGTGTGGTGTCTCTCAGGCCCAAACCAAAGAGTTTCCGGGGCCCAAAGTAGCACACTGACAGCGGGGCCCGGCGGTGCATTAATGTGACATCATGGTGGTGTCTCCCATACACAGCCCGGGGCCCTGAGGTGCGGCACCTTGCCCTAAGCACAGGGCCCGTCCATGAGGCCCAGGCTTTCTGCTGGGATTAGCTAGCTCCCAGCCCACACCTGCCCATCTCTCCAAGTCCTGCTCACAGCCCACCCTGTGGCTCCAGGGCCAGCGCTTGCTAAGCTCTAAGCCCCTTCCCCCGCCCATGTGCCGCCAGCCAAATGGGCCCTGCCCAGTGTGTCACCGAGGCTGCTCCAGCTATTGTGCCCCGGTCACCCGGGAACCGAGCTGCCCACGTTTCCAGCTGAGCCCCACCACCAGAACCACCACCAGCCATGCAGCCTCCTCCCTGCTCCCCACACAGTGACCCTACTCAGCAGCGCTGCCACCCCCAGCTCTGGCCAATAGCCCCAGGACCGGAGCGACTAGAGGGGTACATTGTGCAGAGAACTGAACAGCGGGCCCAGCCAAAGAGTTTGCTGGCATGACCGGGCATAAATGTGACCTCACGGCGACGTCTCCCATACGCAGCATGGGGCCCTGAAGGCGCGGGGCTCAAGGCACCCACCTTGCCCTAAGGCCGGGCCTGCTGTCTGTCATTCGATTTTCTGTCTAATCGGTCTCTTTTTTTCCCCTCTCCTCTAGTGATGAGCAGCAATAAGGTAGGTTTGTGTTCTGCTTTCTACACCTTCCCTATAGGCTCTTTCCATTGTGCTGCTTGCTAATGTGTTTTGCCTTTATTTCAATTTCAGCCCAAACCTTACTAGAGCACAAGACCATTCCGCCCAATCAGGTAAGCGGCACGCATCCCTGTGGCAGTATGCCATAACCTGGCCCACCTGGGCACATCTACCCACCTGGGCCACCAAGCCAGTGTCAACAGAGATGGGGCTTATGCTGTGGGACTAGGTATAGCTGCGTATATGCTGTGGTGTGGGCTGGGATTTAAGCCCTGCGCGGAGGAAGGAGGGTAGGCTTCAGCCAAGCTCTGGCCCGAACCGCAACGTAAAAGCACTTGTAGCTATTGATAGCACAGTACAGGTTGGACCTCTCTAGGCTGGCACCCTTGGGACCTGACTGGTGCTGAACCAGAGAATTTGCCCAACCACAGGACGTCAATATTGTCTAGCAGCATGACCAACACGTCCACTGCTGACTGGGCTCATAGAAGACATTTAGGGGTAAATTGGAGCTAAATAACAACACAGAACATTGAGCGCCAGACTGGTAGCTGTAATCCAACTTTATGGGACTGTGGGAACATTGGCCACACCCATGAGGAGTGGACATTGGGCTAACTGAAATCATGCTGGGCCATGGACGTTGCCAGACCAGAGTGTGCTGGACTAGAGAGGTTTAATGGAGAGGAAGTAGATAAAAATATAGGTTCGACCTCTATAGTCCAGATGTTCCTTGCCTGGCAACAGAGCTCTACAGCCAGTGGCAACAGATAGGCCGGCATTGACCTTCTCTGGTCCAGCAGATGCTCTGGTTCAGGACCAGTCAGTTCCCAAGAGTGCTGGACCAGAGAGTGACAACTTGCAGTGTGCTGTGTATAAAGAAGGATGCTCCAAGCAGACTAGGCTCTGTATGTAACCCTTTTAATGAAATCAATATCAAATATATTTTCTGTCGCTCTCTTTTAGCACATGCTGCCCCCTGTTTGAGCAACATATCTCAACACAGAGAGTGGATTTAGCACATGCTGCCCCGTTTGAGCAACATATCTCAACACAGAGAGTGGAAAGGAAGAATATGTGCCTAGGTCTTCAGTCTGTGCTGGATTTGCATCAGTAACGAAATGGTGTTTCTGCAAACACTGGTCGGGTTCTCTGTTGCCCTATACACTTTGTCATCATCTCCACTTGTACAAGCTGCTGCTAGTGGAAGGGGAGCCTTCCGAGTGGGTGGTGTTGCACACAAGTTGCAAAGGAGTGAAAAGTTGGCCGCAGGAAAAAAAAAGGAAAAAGTTGCACCTGGTCTGCACCTGATTTTTTTGTACTGTTATAAATGTGCGTTAGTGGCATGAATTTTTTACACTGATGCAGCTGGTAATAATTATGCTAATACATCTCTTTAGGTGGACACCTACTCCCCTTACCATATTGAAAGACGAGACACTTAAATAACTTCATCTATTCTAGGAGATTGTTGTAATGATGTATGCTGGTATAATTAACAGAATACAATACATTCTAAAATTATTGGCCAGATTTTTGTTGCCCCGTCCCTTGTGTAAGCCTTTACACAAGTGCAGATAGGTCGTGAAATATTTCTAGTCTGATTTAGCTGCATTTTACACTGACTTTGACCAAGCTCACACTATAGGGGTGGTCGCAGTATAGCTATCTGTAGTGTGTGAAAAGGTTTTTCCCCATAACTGCAAGAACACCAGCTCCCCAAACAATGGTGACTAGGTTGACAGAGGCCTTCTTATGTCACCCTAGCTATAGTGCTCAGAGCTGAGTCAATGTACCTTAGATGGAGTTGCCTGAGGGTCTCTGCTATGGGAGGTCAATTGAAGAAACTCTCCCATCAACTTCCCTTACGCTTCTTGTTCCGGTGGCATCCTGGAGTTGAAAAGCATGTACTCAGCAGTCAATTTAGTGACTCTTCCCTGCACCAGCTAAATTGAATCCGCAGGAGATTGATCGCCACAGAGCTGGTCCCATGGTAAGTGCAGACCTGCCCTTAAGGACCTGCCTACCCGAGACTTTGTCCGTGTGCCATGCAGATAAAACTGAGACTAGCAAAGGTGCCGGAGTCCAATGGAGCCACTGATTGAACAATTCTCTGAGGATCCCCCAGCTTTAGAATTAGCTCCCCACCCCAATCTGAACTAAACAGTCAGATAAACTCCAGGCCGCAGGGCAAATTTTTCCTTTTTCCTCCAGGCATTTGTACATGGTGGCTGCTTGCAGAGAGGTTGATGCTAAGGGTGGGAAATTGTTGGAGAGAAAGGGTTATTTGAAATGTAAAGGTGCCAGAATCCCTGGAAGTCATTTACATTGACTACTTCGGCTGCGCTTGGCATATCTCTAAGTCGTGGTGTTGCGAATGTAGCCTGTGGCCCCGCTATAGCATTTGTGCAAATCTAAGAGAATCCATCTGTTTGCTGGCTTTTCGTTTTGTTCAGTGCAAAGGGGTCCCTTAAAATTCAACAGCAATAAAGACACAGAAGAGAAACTCAAATTCTGATTTGTTTGATTGGATTCTGAATCTCTGGCTGCTGGTTTTGACTCCGTGGATTTGCTACCCCATGTCTAGTATTCCCACCTGGCTTTTTACTCCGGGGCCTGGCTTTACAAACAGAGGCCAAGAGCTGTGCTAAAGCCTGTGGCTGTGTGTGACAAGAGATCAGGGGAATGTTGTTTTCAGTTTGGGTTTAGGTTGGTTTGCACCCTCCGCTCCATAGACCCGCACTGAGAGGCTGTGTCTGTACTAGGAGTGTAGCCACTGCGGTAGCTGTGTTTATACTGGGATAAGTCACACATTGGCTATGTCTACACTGCAGGCTTTTTCTTGCGCAAAAACATGCAGAGCGTCTAGACTGCACGCGCATTTTTGCGCAAGTAAATTTACAGTACAGCGTCGGAAAACAGGGTTTCTTCTGGAGACGCGTTATTCCTCTCCCCATGAGGAATAAGCCCTCTTGCGCAAGAGCTCTTCCACAAGAGGGCAGTGTAGACAGGCAACATGAATTTCTTGCGCAAGAAACCCCTATGGCTAAAAGGGTCATCGGAGCTTTCTTGCACAAGAGCACGTCCACAATGCCATAGACGCTCTTGTGCAAAAGCACTTGGCAGTGTGGACATGCTCTTGTGGAAGACCTTTTGCACAAGAACTCTTCTGCCAAACAGTTCTTGTGCAAGAAGCCTGCAGTGTAGACGTAGCCATTGGGACTTGTCAGAGCCAGTGGCTAAAGTTCCAGAGTGACAGGATTGCACCCGCAGTGGAGGCCAGAAGAGGTTTGAAGTGCTGCATACACAGTGCACTGATTGAGCCAGCCACAAACTGGTTCACTGTGGGGGAGCAGGGTGGGAGAAGGGAGTGAAAGAGCCTCCCCAGCCTTTTCCCAAGCACCACCTTGCTCTGAAGGAGCACAAGGACCGCCCTGGCTCGCAGCATGCTTAGGACTTCACTCGTGATATCTCAACAGTTCACCTCAGGATCTCCTTATGCCCTCACATTGGACATTGCACTTCATCATTGCCCCCAGCTGTATAATCATGTGCAAAGCGACAGCTAACCCTTATGATTTTAGATGGAGAGAGCAAAAGGGAGGTGAACGGCAATCTCCCTTAAGTGCCTTCAAAAATCCCAGTTTTAGAGCACTTTGGAGCCTGTCTGCTGCATCATAAAGACTAGAAAAGACTTTGCCGGTGTAATGCCTCCCCATGAAACTCAGCACTGTATTATCTTTGCGGTATAAATTGGAAGAAGGTGTATTTGCTTTATTGTTACAGCATTGAAGAGCTAAGAAAAGCAAAGTTGCAGTGAAGTAAAACCTTTCAACCAATGCCTGAGTCACCCTGGCTAATCTTTGTGGTTTATTCAGCTCACAATGCTGCATGTTTACCGGTCATGTGGCCTTCAGACAACACCAGCTATTTTCCTGAGAGCCCCAGGTGGGAAGGACCTGGCACATGGGGACTGAATTGCCAAACTACAGGGATTTAAATGAGGCCTTAGGAGTTTCAGCGAAACTCCATTGTCAGGCCTGGCATATGGAGAATGTTCTTAAGGGCTCAAAGGCTGCCAGAAGCCAGGTAAACTATGCCAGATGGCTGTTATGAGGTGCGTCTTTTAAACTAATTGGATTGCTGCTTACTTCCCCTTCCTACACGTATCACTCTAAATTACTTATGATGAGCCTTGAAGGGAATGGACGCTAGCGAACTTGAACAGACTTCAGAAAAGTACTCTAATGAAAAAATTCACCTCAGGGAAAGGGGAGGAGAGAAACCATGAGAGCGAGCTTCTCATTTGGCATGGCTTTTCTGAAGTCAAATGAACTTCACTGATTTCTACTACCTGTAGATGTGCCCTTCCTGTTGACTGCGGCCTAGCCGGCCCGTATTGTATAAAGCACATTTCTATCGATGTAACTGGCCACATGAGAGGCAAGAGCCACTTTGTTACAGCAATTAAACCATTGCTGAAAATAAACATTTAGGGCAGAGGTTCTCAAAACTTTCTGGCCTGCATCCCACCCCACACAACACAGACATTTCTTCAGACGACCAGCCAACCACCCACCATGACAAAATGGGTCCAGGAAGGGATGGGCGGGGTCTAGCTTGGAGGTTGAATGCAGGAGCAGGCTGGGAGTAGAGGATCTGGGGGTATGACTACACTACCCCGCTAGTTCGAACTAGCGGGGTAATGTATGCATACCGCACTTGCTAATGAAGCCCGGGATTTGAATTTCCCGGG